ATATTTTAAATAGCAAATACTTTTTTTTAGATTTAATTGGATTCAATTGGATTCAATTGAATGCAATTGGATTGAAAAACTGCATTTCCTATTCAAAATTTTGAATTGAACAGTATTCACAATGCACAAAAATGCAGAAAAAGCTAATATTATTTTTAGATTGAAAGGCATAGAGATATGCAATTTCTATAAATGAATAAAAATGCATTCAGGATTGAAAAGCATTCATTTTAACATTTGTGAATCAATATTTCTGAAAATCTGAATCCATTTCAATTCATTTTAATCCATTCTCATTTGCTGGACGGAAAATGACGAGGAGGAGGATGTGAGAAAGAGACTTAAAGCGGCAAATAAGGCGTATTTCTTTTTTAATAAGTAATGAGATCAAGAGACACCCATAAGAAGACAAAGGTAATGTTATACAAAATATTAATACGCATTGTTATCACGTATGGTTCAGAAGCCTGGACTATGACATGAAAAATTGAGAATGCCCTAGATACTTTCAAAACGAAAATATTAAGAAGAATATATAGCCCAGTCCAGGAAAATGATATATAGAGAATACATTCATGAGTGTATTAAGAATGCAAAACTCAATCTGTCTACGCATATAAAGTTTATGTGACTATGATGAGCTGGTCACGTATATCGTGAATGACACAAGTATACTAAGAAAGTTAATGGAAGCAAAACTATTAGGGCAACGACCTAGAGGAAGAAAACCCAGGACAAGATGGGAAGATCTCGACGGATGCATGAAAACTGCTGAAGGTGAAAACTGGAGGACATAGAAAAAACAATTAGAGAAGAAGACTGAGAGAGGCCCTGACTCGATATGAGCTGCAGTGCCACCGAAAAAGAAGAAGAAGAAGTAAATGAAAAAAAAAAATTAACTAATCTTTAACTTCAACTAATTACTTTTAAAGTACATAACATATTAATTTATTTCAAAAATAAAAAACCTTTACCTCTCTGAATGCTAATATTATTTTTCATAAAATATTTAATATTATAGAATTAGTTAGAAAAAAAAGCGCAATGATCGTGATGGGCTCGACGTTTGAAGCCTAAACATAAACATAGGAAAACCTGTGTGATGAACTGTACAACAATATAAAACTCAACTTAAAAATAAAACATTAAATTCATTTTATGATTCATATTGTAATTGTTCTGATATTCAAAGTGATTTATAAAATTTATAAAATTAATTTATAAAATTTACAATATTTTGATATAATTATCAGTACACAACTGAATCATTCGTACATTGCTTAATAAATTTTTATATGGCAAAAGAACATTCGAAATGATTCAGATGCGTAGAAGTCGAGCGGACTTCTACTCAGAATTATTGCCAGAAGTGTTGAAAATAATCAGCAAGTGCTATAGTTAAATATAGCGATAGTTAAAATTATTTAAGAAATTTTTATAAGGCGAAGCAACCCTTGATAATAATTTATTCGTATAGAACTTGATCAGAACAACTGAAAACTATCCAAAAGTGCTGAAAATAATGAGCACGACACATTTCCGCTAAGAGACGTATTAGTAGCGATAACTAAAATTGTTTGAAAAATGTTTATAAAGCGGAACGATAATAATTTTGATAATAATTTATTTGTATAGAACTCAAGCGGAACATGTCAGAACTATTGTCAAAATTATCGGATCGACACGTGGAGTTCGAATATTCCAACTTGTGTAAAAATTACTGATTGTTGGAATTTTGTCTTGAAACATCATATAATAATCAATCTAGCTTGAAAGAAACGTGAATACTTAACAGATGTCGTAATATCCGATGGCATCTGGAACTTTAAAAGAAATTATGCCATGCTGGAATATGAAATCAGCACGGTATTTCTTTATCTTTGATTTTTTGATATTGAAAATGCAGAACATTTTATTATTTTTGGAACTAAGAAAGTAGAACAAAAAAAGTGCTACCGGAACAATCATTATTTTTTGAATATTAATAAAATGCAATGCTAACTTCGTTGTCACCCATTTTCATACTTTTTATTTTTTTGTTAATTGATATTGGACTTAAATTTCTGCGACTGTCATTTATTGGATATTGTAACTAACATATTACCTCAACAGTTCTGTGTAAATTTAATGTCTTTATATCGCAATGTTAATTTAAAAAAACGCTTTTCCATATTCCCTGCTTTTATTCTACAATATATTACGAATAGTTACATAACGCGATATCTTGATATGTTTATAAAAAAGGAAATATGTCTAATTATTATGAACGTTGAAAATATATGTCTATTTAATTTAATATAGATTAAATATAAATAATAAAATATGTTTATTAATATAATATTTTTTAGTTATAAAAACGTGTGGTGTAAATTATTTGTATAATCATTTATTGACATTTTAAAGACGTAAATTATACCATTTGTACAATAGTATTTTATAAACGTTTACAAATAAGATCTCTTTTATAAATCATGTATGTTTTCAAACAGTTTTTTCGGTTATATAAATATGTATATATAAATGTAGATATACCTAGTATGCCCGAATACAAAAATTTGTAATTGAGCTCCAAATTGTATTTGTTCAAAATTTTCTCGTAAAAAGATGTAATCATATATTCATTCAAAATTTTGGGTTTTCAAAAAATATTTATTCACAAAAAACTATGAATATTTAACAAGTATTCATATTCTTTCAAACAAAATATAAACTGAAAAAGAAAATTCCAATAAGCAATCGTCCCTTAACTATAACCGGCACTTTGATAACTTAAGTAAAAAAAAATAAAATTTTATTTATTTTTGTCATTATAATATTCAAATTTTGAAGGGAACTAAAAATTTTTGAAAAATATTTTAGAAAACAATACATTTTTTATTTATATATATGTATTTGATAGAGTGTCATACATATTCCGATTACATCACAGTAATGTTATAAACATTTTATAAGATATCTTGGCGCGTCGTTCATTATGGACATTAAATTCTGAAATATATTATTTATTTCCATCAAAAATATCTTTGTTTAACCTATAGATTAAACAAGGACGCTCATTATATAAATTGTGGACTAAGCGCACGATATAATCGTAGCCATTGTTATTATAGATTTTTGTTTTCTCTTGCAGGCTTGTAAGCTATGTACAAATAATACAGAATAAAAGTGAATACAAAACGAAAATATTTGTAATCATATTAAAAAAAATATTCATTCAAATGGAATGAAAAAGTATTTATTTGTTTCTTAATGAATAAAAAAGAAGTGTATTCGAATAAGTTTTCATTCACATTTTATTCATTTATTCGAATATTAGTGTATTCACCGGACACATCCCTAAAATTAAACCATTCCTTTCTTATAATGATTTTTAACCAATATGAAATCTATTGTATTATGCAAACATAATAAAAACGGATATCATTGTTACGATATTATACGATTGCATAAATATAGTAAAAATTAGAACATTATCTCCTATATCATTTTCATTCTTATCATTTTTAAACTACTTTACGTTTAATGAACGTTTAATATATCATTATATTTATTGGATTAATACGAATTACATAAGAGAAACTTATTACTCATAATGCTCTTTTCCTTTCTCCGTAATTTGTACAATACGACATGAACTCAAGATCATTTCACTTGCTTAAAAAAAATGCTTCAATATGTTCTTATCATAGCTCCTACTCATTCCAATGTTCTCGTAGGAATTATAATAGCAGTATATTGAAGCATATTGGAGCATGCGACGTAAATGAACCTATCGCTTATTGATCAGTGCCTCTTATGCCAGAAACAATACACTGCGTTCTTGTGCCAGAAGCTGCAACAGTACATTTTTAGAATTGACAATAATAATGGCGACGACGTATCTTATTATAAAAAAGTTTTAAATCCGAACTTTGCGTCGCAAATCTCCGCTTGTAGGTCATATAGAGAAGAAAATAAGAGTACATATTTTTATTATACAATCTGAGTGAAAGATCCGAGTATTATACAATCGATTAAACATACATAGAAATTGATGCAGCCATTATTAAGATTCGATATAATCTAAATTTCATGCAACTCGCCGACTCACGTAAAGTGGCGATCGGTCTCGCATTATCTTGTCGCTGCGCTTGTTTTAGCGCCGAGACACTATTGTGCCTATAAAGCACCTATCATGGAACAAGTCGGAATGAAATCCAATCGGAATTATATTCTGTTGTTCCTAGAAAATACAATAGATATCTAGGGAATAATTGAATAAATTCATTTCAAATAATTCCATAATATGTACCCTGATCATATTTTGATGAAAGAATCCCAAAAACGTTATTAAAATTTAAAAAATTTTCAAAATAATTCTGTTTCTAATTAGATTTTATATTAATTATTAATATTTTTATCTTTAACGCTAAAAATAAGAAACGTATCAAACATAAGAAACATTACAAATCAAATCTAAAAATTTATTTTCAGTAATATTTCATTAATTTAAAGTTATTTTGTAAGAAAATGACAAAATAAATACGAATTGAAGTTTAATTAAAGAGATGTTTTAATCTGTTTCATGTTTAGCTAAAAGTCTGTTAGTGGTAAATAAAGCTACATAAATTAATATAATATATGTATAATATTATAGAATTAATTTTAACATAATTTATATTTCTATATACATAAAAATAGGAACATATTTTCATAAAAATGCGCTATTTTGTTATGCGTTTTAGTCTGTGCTCACAAATCGACAATTTTCAATCACTATTAATATCGAATTAGACACAACATAAATATTAAATAATAGATATTATATAGCAATATATACTGCAATATATATAGCAATATATATATTTGTGTTGTATCACAAAAACTGTTTATATGAAAAGAATTTTTCATACATAAAAATTAACAATCAAATAATTAATAATAGAAAATCTTATCCAATATCTCAATAGAATTTAGAAGGAGTTTATAAGAAATCCTTTATTATTTGTAAAACTCTTATCTTTTTATATATCAACGTTGATAATAATCCTACAATTCTCAACGTTTCTGTAAAACACATTACTTTCCAAATAATGCATTTATACAAGTGTATAACATTTGTCATAATACAAGGGTCATTTGAAAAATTTTGAGCCTCAACATGAAGATGGCATTACTCGTCAAAACCATTTTGGTACAATCGTACATGTTTTGCAAGATACCTGTGAAAATTGTAGCTATTTTAGATGCTCAGTTGTTATTTGAGAGTCATTTGTGCCAGTCGATGTCACTATTTTGTTTGATGAAAATCTATGTCCTCCCAACTTTGAGTCTAATAAACAGGAAAAAGTCATTGGTTATCAGATCTGGTGATACGATGAGTAATTAATTAATTTGAATCACAATTCGTAAGTTTTTGTTATATATGGTGATTGTCGATATTTTAATTTATTCAATTTTTTCCATTTTTTATAAGAACACTGACATTGACTGGCACAAATGACTCCCAAATAACAAATGAGCGTCCAAAATGACTACAATTTTCACAGATATCTTGCAAAACATGTACGATTGTAATACCAAAATGGTTTTGACGAATAATGTCATCTTCATGTTGAGACTCAAAACTTTTCAAACGACCCTCCTAAATGCACATCTTGTTTTCCAAAGCAGTGCAATAAATTATATCACATGTAACAGTTGTCATATCACGTTGTACGCGTTATAACATAAAGTCTGATTTGGCGCTTATTTTTATTTTGTATTAAAAGTTCTCGTCTAAAAATCTGACTAGAAGAATGATAAGAACTGTAGAGACACTCCAGGTAATATTCGACGACGTGTTAATATATCCCTCTAGACGATGATACACTCTTCTGTCGCCGAGCTTTTGAATTGGTCTGTAATTGAATTTCAGTGTACCATTACTGCCATCCATTTGTCTAAATACGTCCATCTAGAAATAGATTAAATAATATTAATATAGTAATGTAATTATTATTAAATATAATTATTATTGTTATTTTTAATCCAAAAGAATTTTAAGAAAATAATTAACTTATAATTTATTATACAAAAATAAAAGAATTAATAATCTCACAAAACTAAACGTTCTATTTATTTTTACATTCAAGTTACCTGCGTTTCCGACACTTTAAGCTTCTCAGTCATAACAAACCACAATACATCTTCCTGGCATGCGGGTGTAGTTAAAGATCCTTCGTAATTGTAATACGTAGTATGATCCTTTGGTAAGAACAATAAAGGTATCAACTTATTCCTTATGTGTATCATATTATGTCCCACCCAATTTGATACCAACTTCGTTGCATCTACAATGGGCGACAGATCTGGATTATCATCACTGCTCAACTATAACAAAATATTACGTTGTTATGTCCATATATAATTTAAAAAAAAAGCAATACTAAAATTAATAACACATTATCACCTCAAATAGAACGGCAACTACAGCAATCCCGTATTCATGTTGCAAGGCTACGCTAAAATTTGTATACTTTATGTCGTAATGCACTAGATGCAACTCTAGTGGATCACGTAAACCGTCCACAGTATGCTCTGCATTCCAATGAAAGTGCATTTGCTCCAAAATAAACATTGATGATAGACTTCCGCCACTGAGATGAAGTGGTACACCATGAAATAGTATTTGCACTAAGAAAAAATTTCAATCGAAAGATATTGAAAGTACAAAAAAAAATATAATTTCTTTCGCAGAATAATACTTTGCAGGCTCTTGTACTTGCTTCGATTCAATATGTTATATTAAAAACTTTTGATAAAATTTTGATTTCTTTGTTATCCTCAATTTCATAAGGTTGTCAAATGTTATTCTGTAATTATCACATCGTACAAAATTGACGACATATTTATTATAAAATTATAAATTAACACGAATTTAAAATTGTACTTCCACGAAATTTCATTATGTCTTTATCATTTGACAACAATTTGTATTTATTGATTCATTTGATATGATTGACGTGATTTTAACATCTGCGACGTGATAAATGCGATTCATTAACAATCTTGCTACACTATTTATGCGACTACATGCGATAACTTGTGACTATTATTAATGGATGAACATTTATATACAGTGTATTTTCAGTAGCTAGATCATTTATAATATCTTCGTTGTTGGTAAAAATACTGATTATAGGGGATCGAACTCCAATAACCTTGACATATATTGATCATAAATAACCTCCAATAAGTTTTAGCCGACGCTCGTTATTCGTTAAAAAATTATAAACAAATAAATTTAACATATAACACATATAAATATGTGTTTAATTTTATAATTTGAACTTTACTCATTGTTAGTATAAATTATATTATACAGTATATAAATCAATGTATAAGTTTATTATATAACTGTTCAAAGATAATAATTAACTTTGATTGTTCATAACTTTTTAATGAATAACGAACGGCGGTTAAAACATTGTGAAAGTCACAGAGGCATACAACTTTTCACATGGAATAAGTTCCATCCCCCCTGCCGCCTCTCTGCTTAGAGAAGTACGACTTTTCAAGTAAAGAAAGGTCCATTCTATAAGAGATATATTTCCCACTGCCTAGAGCCGCATAATTTTAATCAGGTGGGGAAGGGTGGATCTCGTTTCGTGTGGAAAGTCGCGCGTCCTTGGGCAGAGGGGAGATGAGATAAACCTCGCTTCGCGTGGAAAATCCCTTTCTTAGTCGATTCCCCTCTGTTTAGAGTCCGACTTTTCACGCAAATAAAATTATCAACTTTGATTGTTAATAACTTTTTAACAAATAACGAGCGATGGCTAGAACCTATTGAAGGTCACTCAGGATCATGACCTTGATAACATATGTCAAGATTAAGATCATTGGAGCTTAGTCCCATAATTTTTTATTAAAATTTTGCTCAAAGACATATCTTTTGAAACTTCAAAGACACTTTCACTTTTTAAAATGAAATTGTATGATTTTTTTACACAATATGATTCCTCTAATTATTTTGTATATAAAAGTATTAAGATAGAGATATCAAAAAAACAATAGTTTACAAGATATTTTATATTTTATTCTATATTATAGCCGACACATATTAATATAAAATGTTAAATAATTCGTATACTATTAATTTTTTGATAATCCTATCTTAATTTTATGAACAGAATAATGAGATGAATTAATTGATATAAAGAAAACACATAGTTGCATCAAAAAAACATGTATGCAAAATGAATAATTTTTTAAATAAGCAACTATGTATTCTTTACAGGAAACACTCTGTACTGAAGATGATGACTCAGAACATTCAGGTGAAACGTTCATAACTTATATATAATAAAAATAAAAAGAACACACAAACATCCAATGTTAGATTCTTAGGGATACACTTTTTTACTCTCTATTAATTTATATTTATTAAAACTTATAATTGGTAATATAATTGGTAAAGTTTTGTTAAAAAATGTACAACCAAAACATTAAACAGTAAAATGTATTACATCCTATTTATTTACCGGAATGTCCAGTGTTAATCATCGTACTAGGAAAAGCGAAGTCATATCGATGGAATTTAAGAGCACCGAGATCAACTCTTATAGCATCTTCCGTCACGATGTCTATTGGCGATTGCTTCTTTCCTGTCATACATATTCCTGGCCAATTTTCTGGTCCTACATAATTATTTATAAACTTCAGTAGACAGTAGTTTCAATCATTTTAAAGTACAACAAAATTTAAAATTTGTATTATAAATATTAAATTTTATTGTACTTTAAAAGAATCCTAAAAATGATTAGTCATATTGTAAATAGCACTTACACACAGACGATATGAACAGAATAATGAGATTTATGTATCATTGACACTATCATCAATATCTCACTCACGCATATCACACATACACATAAATTTTCATATAACAATCACGTTTTAATTAGACGTCTAAGTCCAATTTTCAGAACTCCACGCTGTTTCTTCATGCAAACTACTAGTCTGTGAACTATTATAATTATTTTGTAAATAGATTGCACAGTAATAGATTGCACAGCTTTTATATGAAGCAAATATTGTCGTGACGTGACAATTTTGGAGCACCACATTAGAACTAATTGTAAGAAATGATAAAAAAGGACTCCGAAATATTTTGTCATTCTCAATATAGACTCCACCTCAGAAACACGTATAAATGCGTATACTTTAATCCTGGAAAGGGATTTTCAAATCAGTAAGAGATGAATAAAGATTATATAAAAAATTAAATTGCAAAAGGGGCTAATATGGAATCAACGCTGTAAGTGGTGCGTAAAAATTCTCTCTAAATTATTATATTATATAATAGATGGTACACAAATAATAACAAAAATATATTATCTATTAAATAATAATTTAGAGAGAATAATAATTTAAATTTTTTGCAATTTAAATTTTTTTATAAAATTATAAGGAGTCCAAATACTTTCTTAACTTAATATATTTATTACTTAAAAATTATATGGTTTAATCAATAATACAGATGACTTTAAGATCCTCTGAAGTACTATTACAAAAAATATATATTTTTATATAATAAATTGTATAAAACTTTAAAAACAATTTAAAAATTTTTAAAAATTTTTATTCTTAAAAAAATATTTTTTAAATATTTTTTGTTGACTCGTATGGAAAGAAATAATTGAGAATTATTGAAAAATAATTATTCAGAACTATTCAGAAAATTATTTATATTGGCAATGTATTATGAGACATTATCATTTATTATTATTGGAAATACAAATAGTTTACTACTCAAGCGAATAGTAACTACAAGCATTTACCTTCATTATTGTAATATAACAAATGATAAATGCCTGTAATTACTATTCACTTTAATAGTAAACTACTTATATACATGTATATTCTAACAGTAACAAACAGTGAATGCGTAAATAGTTACTATTCGCTTCAATAGTTGTGAATAATAAGGTCCCATAATACTACATGATATTCATATATAGTTCTTTGAATAGTTCTGAATAGTTATATTTCTCAATAGTTCTTAATAGTTTCAAGGAGCTATTGAAAACTATTGTGAAATATAATTATTCAGAACTATTCGAAGAACTAGGTATGTAATGTCATTTAGTATTATGGGGTATTATTAACTACTGTGGAGCGAATAATAACTATTTATCCATTTACTATTCACTATTACTAACAAGTAACACTATTCAACTGTCACTCACTAATCTGGAAATTGTGCTCACTTGTTTAATTGGAAAATATTGAACACGTGTTTTTCTATTTTTTCCCAAAATTAATTTTAAGAGTTGAAATTATCCCTCAATCATCTCCAAAAGTGTATTATCTCGCCATGAGAAATACTTCGAGCATATAAGTGGCAACGAAGTATGTTTCTGATGAAAGTTGTAGAGTTGATAAAGAACTATGTAATGATGTTCTTACCTTGATCTTGGAAATCAAATATCAAGATCATTTGGAGATAAAATTGATTTTTTTCATGATGCTATCTTGAAAGAATAGCAAAAATAAAACGAAAAACAGAATTTAATGAAGCATCACGGCTCCAATAAATGTATAAACTTTGTGCCAGTAAATTCTGAACTAATAAATATCGAAAATATTCATCTAAAATCCATTCTTGGAGGTGGTTGAGGGATGGTTTCAATCCTTACAATTAATTTTGGGGAAAAATATATAAACACGGATTTAATATTTTTCAATGTTAAACAAGTGTGCATAATTTCATTCAGATTGATGAGTGACAGTTACAATTAGTATTACTTATAAGTACTATTGGGACGAATAGTAACTACAGGAATTTATCATTCATTATTACGGATTAGAATGATGAATAATTTATTATTGGAGCAAATAGTAAGTACAAGTAGAAACTAACATCTTAGCGATTTTCGTGAAAATTTAGAAGTACTAGGTGATATTACTTACAGTTCGCAAATATCCTGGATAGTGATATTTTATTGTTTTTTTGTTATTTAAAAAAAATTTTAGTTAAGGATGAGAGCTAAACGGTTATTTTTCATTAACGGTTAAAATAGTTACTGTTACTTCAAAATAACTAATTATTTAAACAGTTATATAAACGGTTATTTTTTATTAGTACCCTATAACTTAATCAGTAATTCCATTTTTTTCATTATTTCTCATTATTTAAATTATTTAAGAAATCTATTTTAAAATATTTCGTTATTTAAAATATTTGTACAAACAAATAAATGTAAAGTGTTAAATTTTATGCATAAAGATTGATATTAACTTGGTAATGAATAAGGCCAATATTACATGCGTCCATTTTGTTCAATTACGTAGTCGCAAATACTTACATTTCAGAACTATTCGCCAATAGTATAATTTAATTACTGTTCAGTTACGTAGTCGCGAATAGTTACTTTTCAGAATTATTTGCTGATAATCGTAATTACTATTTAACAGGATTGTTAAAAAAATATGTTTTTTTATTTTAAAGGAAAAATATTGGTTTTTTTATTTAGAATAATATTTTCAGTTTTATTTTGTGTTTTTTAAGCAACAAAAAAACATGCTTTAAACAAGAGAAAAACATGTTTTTTTAATGTTTTTTTTGTTGCTTAAATAAACAAAAAATATTGTGTGAATATTTGAACCTTTGCCATAAAAAATAATAAATAATTGAAAGAATTAGTTATTTTTATTTATTTATTATTATTATTATTTTTTATACTGCTAATATGTTTCTTGTGTGAGCGTCACTAAATACTTTTCCAAAGTGTACGGATTGATAAATCAAGGGTACTGGTTTATATCATTCTGCAGCCATGCCTGACGTTATATCTTCTCTACCGAGCAAAAACTCCGTTCAAAATTTATCTTTTTTCTGAGGAAGCTATTAAATGTTAAGCCAATAACATGATGGCTTGCGCTAAAAAATAATATCAAAAATAATATCAAAAATAATATCAATGTTATTACATTCGATTTGGCAACACAACTCCATAACAGTTGCTTCTTCTGCTGGTATAAAAAGGCTGTTTTCAGTTTTTGGGTTAATGCATCACAAAACTAAGAAACAAGTTAGGCACAGAAAAAGCTTCAAAATTAAAAACAATTTTGAAGGCATTGAACAAAAAAACTGATGTAATTGAACATGAATATTGAATATTGAAACTGAGACTGTATAATCTGATCTTTTTTAAAAGTTTTTATGTTTACAGCTATTAGTAGAAAAAAACTACTACTGAATGTAGTTTATATTCCGTTAAAAGATTTAACGAATTTTATTTTATTATTTATATGTTTATAGCCTGTAATAGTACTAGTAGTAATATATTTACATATAAATAAATAAATAATTTTTTTGCAACATATATATTATTTTTTTATTCACTTTTATAATTTCTTTTCCAAATCACATATTTTAATTGCAATTTTATTTTTTAACAGATTTAATTAAAAATAGTTTAAAATTGTTTAAAACGAAAGTGTTTTAAACATGTTTTAAATAAGCCGTTTTAAACCTTTTGTTTAAAACATAACAACTCTGCTATTTAATTACTATTCAATTACATAGTCGCAAGAGAAAAAAAATAGTTACTGTTCAAATAACTATATAAATTGAAATAACTATAGACATCTGAATAATACACAATAGTTCTCAATAGTTCCTTTCCATACAGAAAACAATATTAAAATAAGTTACGAGCATCATATATAATTAGAAAATTTTAGAATTTTTATATGATTATAATTAAAATCGTAACTATAGTATTAAAGTATATTAAAGTATTATAGTATATTCTTATATTAAAATATTTGTAACCAATAAAGAATTGGTTTATTATTATTTAATAAAAGGAGACAAGCGCTTTCATATTATTATTCACAGCTAAATCTGTTAAAAAATAAAATTGCAATTAAAATATGTGATTTGGAAAAGAAATTATAAAAGTGAATAAAAAAATAATATATATGTTGCAAAAAAAATTAAATCTATAGGTATTAACATAGGTAATTGCATCGAGTAAATCGTGTTGCTTTCTTTAATTTATTTGTAGTAAAATGTTAAAATTGTAACAGAACTAAGTAGATCTATCTATAGAATCTACATATAGTATCTATATATAATATCTATAGTACCATATGTACAAGTATGAAATGCGGATTTGAGACAACAGATGGTGCACCAATGCAATGTGTAGTATAAAGATTTGACGTATATGCCATTTTGTTATGCCATCAACAAGTGTCAAATGCGCATAAGTGATAAATTGAAAAAGTGTTTGCATAATATTGTTTTGCTGTGTTCAATATGTCGAAATTTGTGCCAAATAAAGAGCATTCGCGGACAGCATTAATTTTTTGTTTTCATTTGAAGAAAACTGCTGCTGAATCATACCGATTACTTCAAGAAACTTATGGTGAACATGCTCGCAAGAGTATGAACGATGGTTTCGGCGTTTCAAAAGTGGTGATTTCGATGTTGCAGACAAGGAATATGGAAAACTGTCAAAAAGGTACGAAGATGTAGAATTGCAAGCATTGTTGGACGAAGACGATTCACAAACACAAAAACAACTCGCAGAGCAATTAAGCGTTAGTCAACAAGCTGTTTCCAATCGCCTACGAGAGATAGGAAAGATTCAGAAGATCGGCAGATGGATACCACATGAGTTGAACG